TGCTGAGTTCTGGTAATTTTTTCATTTTAATAGAAAGCTTCCTCACAGTTCTTGGGGATTTTATTTTATCAGGGAAATACCAGTTTATTGAACCACCTTTTTTTGAAGGATTAGGACTTGAAGGAGAACATTCGGCTGCTCCGGTTTCAGTTTTGCTTGCAGACAAGATTCCGGTTCCTTTGGGGGGAAATGGGGGGGGAGACAGGTTTTAGGAACTGTGAATTAAAAACAATCTTCATAAAAAAGACTTTGAAATAAGAAACCACTGCTTTGTCATGATATAGAAAAGTATACCTCTATTCAGTAAGATACTGAGCATCAGTTGCACCCACACAGACAAGCACACACCTGTATAAGTGTACTTTTCTGGTTTGTTCTGCCAAGAATAAGTACTTAGAGATCAGGAACTTGACTCATCCTTGCTTTAGGAAATTCCACACAAAAGTGAAAAGGAGCAGATACAGCCTAGGAACACCTGTCACTCATGTACTTTTAACAGGGATGCCAGCCTCCAGGTGGGACCTGGGGATCTCCTGGAATTACACCTCATTTCCAGACTAAAGAGATCAGTTCCCCTGAAGCAAACAGATGCTTTGGAGGATGAACTCTATTGCACTGAGGTCCCTGTCCTCCCCAGGCTCCATTCCCCAATCTCCAGGAGATCCCCAACCTGGATCTCACAGCCCTACCCCCCCCCCCAATCCCATGCCGGTGGCCGTGGAGGACCTGGCAACCCTATTCTTTAAGAGGGGGCTACTGAAGCAACTGCTGTGTCTAAGGAAGTTTTTTAAATGTAGAATTATATGAGGAAATCTACTGTATAGTCTAAAAATGGAGAATGGAACATAGGGAGGATAAGTTTTCTTGAGCACCTGTATCTTTTAATAGCTGTACCCTGGCCTTTGTTTATTCCTTCAAAAGAGTCCTAGAACATTGCTTCGTAGGAATTTACTTCTTTCCATCTTTTATTGGCACCATGTCCCCCTTTGCCTGTTATGGCAGCGTAGGTGTGGAATGCATTTTGGATTCATTTCTCCCCACAGTTCCAACTGAAAATCTGTCTGCTCCCAAATAATTTCCACCTACAAAACAGAAAAGCATGCAGGCACTTCAAGAAGTGGCACCACGTTACGTTCTGGTCTACGATAAGTGAACAAGCAATTCATTCAGCTATGTGAAGAAGAAAACTAAAGGCATGAATGAAAAGCTCCTGCATGCAATGACTCAGTGAAACCAAATTTCTCCATTATAAGCCTCACAATGTCTGTTTGGAGAAGCTTAATTGTTAAAAAGAGAGGCTCAGTTCAGACATGACACCAAACAATCGCTAAGGAAAGCTTAATTACAGTATATCGTGATGTCTTAATTGACATCTCATAGTTACAAGTGTTGACCCTCCTCTGCCTCATAGAAACAGGACTACTGAACAGATGAAAATGAAAGCAGATATGAAGATTTAAATCATGTGAAGCTCAAATAATTATTTGGGTGGTGAACTAATGTAAACTGTGGTTTGGTATAGTATCTGAAGTAAGCCACAAGGACTGGTTTTATTTTGACATGAGGAAACAACAACAAGGACCCGGCAACTCAAGAGAATGAAATAAGACAAAAAAGTTGCCCAACAAGTTCAATATACTTATGCAAATATTGGTAATTTAATACATGTTCTTTTTTGTTGCACATCCAGAGACCGAAGTCCCAACAAGACGAACTTGCTCGAGAGTTTAGCCGTTCGTTTCGACCAGAGTCTTTGTCACATCTCAGTTTGTAGTCATTCTTTCTGTTCACAAAGTCAATTCACAAGTGGCTGAACACAGCTCCCAACTAATATTAGAAAATATTATCTGAAAATTCTAATATTAGTTGGGAGCTGTGTTCAGCCACTTGTGAATTGACTTTGTGAACAGAAAGAATGACTACAAACTGAGATGTGACAAAGTATATTGAACTTGTTGGGCAACTTTTTTGTCTTATTTCATTCTTTATTTTGACATGAAACTGCAGGTAGTCAAGTTGGTCCATTAAAAAAAATCCTAAAGCAACAGAGGAGTGATATCTCTATTAGGGCCAAGTAAAATATCACAATGTAGTGAGTAAGCTTTTTAGAGATGCAGGCTGTATTATTAGTAAAACACACAAAAATAGCCCCCTCTGATGTGAATTTGTATCTGTGAAAAGAGATAAAAATGTTGTTGGGCATGATGAAAAGACAAAGTCTGTGAACTGTTTTAAGATGGAGCAGAAAAAATGTTGTGTGAATAATTAGGTTAGAAGACTGTGTTAAGTAGCAAAATATCTTCAGGTATACCAGAAATCTATTCGTCAAAAAACAGAATGGCAACTCTCCCTATGAAAACGTAAAAGCTGGCAGCAACTCTACAACAGAGAAAGACTACAATTACTGCTGGGTTTTGTATGGTACACCTCTGCTAAACTCAAAAGGCTGTCAGTTGACCTACAATAACCACAGCAGCTATCAAAGTACCAAAAACAGTTACACGGTAATCAGATATCCTCTTCCCAATTTGTTTCATCTGGTTTTCTAGTGTCAGAGATCTCTGCATAAAGAGAACAAAATCATTTTAATGCAACATCATTGAAATAATGTTTTATGGGTTTTTTTAAAAGTCACACTATCGAATATTCCTACTAGCCATTAAATAGCTAAGTCAATTTAGCTGGGCGCACTATGCTGTTGCCCATTCACAGAACTAAGTAGACACAGGCTGATTCACACTTCACTACTATGATATTTCAATTTTCTTGTTGCTATTTCAAGTCAGAATACAGACAGTGCTATCCTAAGGTGATTTATACCCTTCTAAGTTCAATGAAGTTAATAGGCTTAAAGGCATATACCTCTGCTTAAGATCACACTGCAAATCTCAAAACATTAAGATTCTTCAAAATCTTGAGGTTCTTGTTATTTGCCTTTTATAGTTAGCTGAATAGCTCTCTTCACACATACAAATTCACATGAGTTGACTTCTTTTTAAAAACTCTCAAGTTGAGGGAGATAATACTGTACAAAGTCTGTTTTCCAGAAGCCTCAATGAATTTTCTTGTTTCGCCCAGTTGCTACATTTCTATTGAAGCTGTTTCCTTACAGGGGATAGACTATTTCTAGCACGCCTGCTGTGCTTTTCTGGCAAGCAGCTCGTAAGAAATGTGGTGTTTGATAAAACTGGACAAAGGCTTCCCTTGTACTGCAAATCACAGCATAGTCCCACTGGTGGGCTGCTCTGAAGCATTCTATAGTAATCAGCACCATGCTTCAGCCTGCTAACATTAATCTTCCCTTTCTGTCAGAAGTCTCTGGCAAAGGCTTAGAGAAGCAAGCCAAGATATTAAAAACTTTCCTTGGCTTCATTACAGCTGAGAAGTCAATCTAACATTCTTGACTTTTAACTTCTAACTTCCGGTGGCTTCAGTACTTCTTTTTCTTCTTCTGAATGTTAAACATGTTGAAAGGACACTGGAATAATTCATGGCAGTCTGGCACCCATCTCCAGCTTTATCTAGATGATGGAGACACTCCTGCTGCTAAACATTTCAGTGTAACGGTTTCCCCATGTACAACTTCAATAAAACAGGATACTTATATTTTATTAAGTTAGTTAACTGTTATTTGGAAATGATAGCATTCGTTTTTATCTGTAACGTTATTCAATTTGATCATAGGCAGTCTTGCAGTGACTTCTGTTATCAATAGCTGTTTGGAGAAGCCAGCAGCTAAACTCAGGTGGCTAGCAGAAGACGTTCTGGGCAACATTCTGGTATCTGGGCAAAGCCCAATGTGAAACCCAGCTTCTACCATAGAATCTGTGCCCAAATACCAGAGCATTACCCAGAAGTCGTTGGCATGATGATGTCACTTTCTGTGCAATAATACGGAGAACAAGAAAAACTGTGAGAAAGTGACGCTTAATATATGTCTTTAAAGAATCATAGAAAAGTGAACAAAATTTTCTGTTTGTACGGGCAGTTTTTTCTCCATTAAAAAAACCAGCCTGCTGCTTAACTCCTGCATATTTGCAAGAAATACTGTGCTACATGCATGAGGGATCCATACCAAGCAAGTGAAACAGTGACTTTGAAGTGTGAATGGTTTGTCACCTGCTGAGAATCCAACTCATTAAGTTTTTCTGCGGTCAGACAGTTCAAGACCTGTTTTAAGTAGCCCTTCAGGAGGAATGGTTCTGTTGCCAGGTTTAGAAATACACATGCAGAGCTGGAAGATAAAGTCACTTTCTTTATAAAGAAGAGTCAGTGTGTTATTGGCCTCCAACTGGTTTCAGAATTGGGAGGAGGGGAGAAAGAGCAGAATGAAAATGCACAGCTATCTTCAAACCACAACCCCCATTACCCACCCTCCTGCTCTCTGTCCCCCCATCTTCGGCTTTCCCTCATTTTGGCAGCCTCTACCCAGGAAAGCTATGGCCCAGTTATGCAGTGGCAGTTGCCAGGCTGGGCCCAGTTGCACAGTAGGAAACTCACAAGAACTTACAGAGTATACCTTGTTTTCTCCTGTATCTGCTTCCCTACACTATTTACTCTTTACCTACTCCTGGGAACTCCCATATTACTACCTTTCCCTGTTTCCTTCTCACACACCCACCAACCTACATTTTATCTACTCCCCATCTTCAGCTGTATTTGTTATTTCATTTATATCCTGCCTTTAACCACATTGGGGAAATAAAGCAATTTACAATGTTCTTCTCTCCTCCATTTTATCCTCACAACAACCCTGCAAGGTAAGCTAGGCTGGGAATGTTTAAATGGCCCAAGGTCACACAGTAGGGTTGCCAGCCCCCAGGTGGGAGTGGGGATCCCGGGATTTCATGGCTTCTCCTCAAAGGTCAAAACAGACCTGAAAAGAGCCCTGCCCCATGACTTTTACTGGCAGAAACCAAAGCTCAAAGATTGGCAATATTGTTGTAGTTGCCTAGCATACCCCAAAACGGCCATTCATTCCTTAAAGTTACAGATGCTGCTTCTACTGTTTTAGGAGGGTTAACCCACCAATATATTTCTTTTTTAGATTTCAGATTTTTGTACAAACCTAGGGTTTTTTCAGGTTTGTAGAAAGATCTGTCTTGTCTGTTCATGGCTCCAGACTCTGGATTTAAGTATCCACAGATACAGCCACAATGAGAATTATATTGATGGAAATACTAATGCACCAGAAATCAACCTGCATAATGGGGGGGGGGATGGATGGCATTCAGTATTTTAGGCACCCCTTCTCCTGCCAGCCAGTGGTTTTTAAAAGAAATACAAATCAAACCTAATTTTAAGAGGTTATCAGTCACAAGGGACTCAATTAATATATTCCTGGGATCTGTGTATTGCATGGCCTAAAGCATAAGTATAACTTATGGACTGCTGTTTTAATGCCCTAAGATTTCACCTATGACTTGGGGGAAGCATGCAATTATAATGTTATCTACTCAGCATGTGGTAGTGGATTAAAGGTAATGAACCATCAAGTTAAATTTTAGCAGAAGGCAAATGAACCCACAGGAATTTTACTCTATTTGGCATCCATTTATTATTAGATTCGCCTAGACCAGATATCCCCAACCTTGTTAAGCCTATGGTAACTGTTAACATTTTGAGAAAGGTAAGTGTCCTCCAATGATGGCTTGAGGCAGCTGCTTCTGATGCATTTCCTGAACTGTCCTGAAGCACCTCCTGCACCAAGGAGGTAGAGTAGGTTTTTGCTTTGGAGAAAGAGATGCTATTTGGTTTCAGCCCCCACCCCCCAAAAAGGCAGGAGCATGCTCCTTGAATGGACACAGAGAAACTTCCAATCCCAAAGAGCTATGAAAGTCTGTGTCTACAGCCAATCTAAGGGCACAGAGCTGTGACAACGGTTTCCAACATGAGCTCAGTGCTTGGTTAATCAGTCAGTTGGTAGGCAGTGGGAGAAGTTTCCCATTATGCACAACACTCAAGAAGCATGTGGGTGCCAAGAAACACATTGCTGGATGTCCTGTTGCGACTGGATACTATATTGGAGATCAATGACCTGGACAAAATTCAATTTCTTCCTCTCAAACAATCTTGGTAATTTTGGAAGGATGCTACTAGAGACTCCAGTATAAGTTTAACTGACTCTTCAAGCTTCAGAAGGCAGGGATATACTACCAACTACCCAAAAATCCTTCTCTCTGAACAAACCAGGGATCACTCCACTCTTTAGAGCCATCTCCTTTTTCAACTGGGCAGGGAATTACTTCTCTAAAGTAGAAGCTTGCCCCTATTTCTGGCCCAAATGAGGATCTTCAGTGACCCCCCCCCCTTCCTTGCCACCTTTCCAGTTCTCAGTCAGTGAAAAACTGAATTATCTTCAGCAGTCAGTTCCCAATTCTTTCTTCTCAACTGACCGGATACCCAATGAAATCCCTTTGAGCAGCCTCTCACTCAAAGGCTCTCTGGCTCTGTGAGGCATTAACCCTTCACAGTCCATCACATGTTTATACAGGACATGATGAGTTTTTAAAGCACAGTCCATCACAGTCCTTTTAACTAAACAAAGAATACTGTTGTACTTACTAGCAATGAGTGCTGTAATTCTCTTGCTGATATGTAATTTTAAACTCTCAGTATATTTGAATCACCTATGTTAAGTTTTGTATTTTATTGTTTTTGTGAGCAAGTAAGACCTAATGAATAGTTACTTCTGCGTGAACATACATAGGATCCCCCATGCATGACATGCAAGTTTGTCAACTACATTTAGGCAATATCAAGGATTCTGAAAGCACAAACATTTGAAAATATTCATTAGTTCATTGCCAATGATGGCACATAGGCTTCTGTCAACAAAAGCTGTACAGAAAACCTTTTTCCTCCAGTAGTTCAGTCATGCTCATTGGGCTAATATGAAAGGAAGTAGGTTGAAAATTATTTCAGATTTATAGATCCACAACACAAAAGCTTTTTCATAACCATTTTCTCCATTCCAGGATGAAGGCACTTAATTCTTGTCTGCCACTCAGTTATCATAAAAAAATTAATTAGCTGCAATTTAAACCTATAAACACTTACAGATACTGCTTCATAGAAACAGAATATGCTATCCAGTTTTCCACACTAATACAAAACAGAACCTATTTGCCCTGCTGCCCTTTATGCAGTAATTTTGTCTTGATGAGCTGTCATTTCAACTTCAACTGAAATTAATTGTAGACACCTTAAGAGGATTAAAAGAATCACTGAGCACTCCTCAGCAATAAAGCCAATTACCTAACAGCAGGGACTCACCTAATCAATTAATGCATTCAATGGGATCCCTATTCAACACAAGCAAAACTGCATTTAAAATAGCTTCATTAACTCAATATGCAGGAAACTGTATAGGACTAATTTGCAATCAATTTCACCATGGCTCGTTATAGGCATACATAATCAAAGGTCAATCTTAATTTAGTTAAGCAACAGATTTTCCTCTACATTACAAACACCTCTACTGAGTTCCTCCCTAATAAAAAAAGAACCTTACATACCACAGGACATTAATTAAAATTAACAAGAGCCATATATGTATTAAGAAATTCATCGCTGAAGCAATGTACTTTTCTGCAACAATCACACTTTCACCTTTGAAGTTGGCAAAGTAACCATTATTAGCAATTTACTAGAAACCAACAAAAAAGACTAGTTGCTGTTGCAGCATATATTTCAGATCCACCAAAAAAGGGCGGGAGAGAAATGCATGAATGATTTCTTACCCGTTCCCTAAGCAGCTGAAGTTGATTTAGAACCTTCTTAATGTGCCCAATGCATTGACAGCTCCATTTAGAAATATATTCAGTTATGGAGCCTACTCTAAGAAAAGTGTGAATAAAACACAATAAATGTCATCTGGACAAAAACAAAAGAGAGAGAATTAATCTCATTTGTAAGTCATTGTCAGTTCTGAAATATGAGCTGAAACAGTTTCAGTAAAAGCAGCTACTGAACAGATTTTTCTCCTTGAACAAGTAAGAATCAGAACTCTTCTCTAAAAACCATATAAACCAAAGTTTGAAAATCTGTAGGTCAATGACCTCTGAAGCTACTGGAACAAAAACACTTAGAATCATAAGAGTTGGGAGGAGCCAAACAGGCCATCTAGTACAACCACCTGCTCAGTATAGGATCAGCCTAAAGCATCCTTGACAACTTCTGCAATTACAAAATGTGCCAACTGGTATGGCCTGTTCCTGTGACCCAAAAGGAAAGATGAAGCATCCACTTGCACACAGAATACTGGACTCATCAGTGGTAGGAAAATTGGAATACAGAGGGCTGGATCCAGAGTAAATTTTCTAATAGCAGAATGGAACTTTCCTGCTCCCCTTCTCCCTTTGCAGCCTGCTGATCTCCACTAAATGCTGCTGCTGGAAGACAGGGGGGGACACTGAGGAATGACACAAGTGGGTCTGCAGAGGAAAAGGGGAATTGTTGGAAACTACCAATTTAGTGTGGATCCATCCTATATATTGCCATCCTTCTAAGTCTATTGACTTCAAGTGTGTAACTCTGCATAGGATGATGGTGTAAGAACATACAAAACTTTCAGAATATTAAGCCCAGTTTTGATGGCAGTGTGTTCGGACTACAGACACTTTTGCTCTACAAGGTTAAGACCTGAAATCAAAATAATTATGGAAGTTTACTGTGGAAACCAGCTGGGCATAGCACTATCCTATGATATAAAAGACCTTCCTCCCTTACTATTCCAGAAGCAGGTTTTCATTATTAATCAGGTGGCAAATCAACACATAAACATATACTTGGTGCCTAAAATGAGCAGCCTACCTGAAGCATGAGGAGGAAGTGCCAGTCTCACAGACATTAACTTTCAGGACAACTGACTCCAAGCACCATAACAACATAAAAACTAACACTTTCACAGGAATGCTAAATGCCATCAATTATAAGCACTCCAGAAGGTTAGATACTGACACTTTCTCTTACCTCCTGAAGAACCTTTTAATGTAGAACTATCCTCGGTTATAAACCCACTCACAATAGTGCATGCAGGCTTTGGCTTCTGTACTTGCAAATGTTCCATGGAATGTACACAATTGACTTGACTGGTTTCCCTGGGCTGAGCATCTCCAATACAGCTGAAAGACTGTGGAAGACCTTCATTATGCACTACAACTTTAATCAAGTCATTTGCAGAGGATATCTTGCAATTCATGGCTTGGGATTCTGAATTGTCAGCATTATTATGAACAAAACAAGGGAAGTCAGGCTCATCATCTTCAGGGATAGGGTTGTACCATATTTCTCCTTCATCATCTGCATCATTATCTTCACCAAATTCTAAAGTACAGTTTCGTAGTGCCAAAGGGCTTGCTCCATTCACAGCAGCATGCGCAGAACCATCTCTTCTGTTAGGGTTTTCATACCCTAAAGGTTTGGGAAAGGTCTGAGGCATTTTGGGATCAAGCAAAGAACTGGGAGATTTAAGTACCTGGTGAGTTTCTCCCAAAATTTTCTTGTAAGAATTTCCTTTCTCCAAGTTAGGTGGTCTTGGAGAACTCTGATGTAACCAATTTTGTTTCTTAGACACTGTGATGCTAGCAATTCGAGGCTTGCATTCAGCCATTTCACTAGATCTGAAGTTCTTAAGTTCTCTTCTGCTCACAGAGGGTATGTAAACATTTTCAATCAAATCTGGTATGGGAAAAAAGAAGTGAAGATTTAGAACATTTGTCCACCTTACATCACTGCAATCATATTTATATTACATGTTGAAGAAGCAATAGAAAGTTGGGCTGCAAAATGGAAAGTCAAACTAAATAGTATTAAAATTCACAATGAGCATTCATGGCAAGCAAGCTACCTATGTATTATGGGAAGATGTTACTAGGACAAAAGAGAATGACTGTTGCCCAGTCCTGGCAGCCTCCTAAAGTTTGGCTTCACAACAGTTAAAAAGATTTGGGGGGGCGGGGGTTTGGTACCTTTGGTAATATCTGCAAGGGGAGACTTTTCCTTGCCTCCCTATGCCAATTAGGCAAAGAAAAGTGTTGATTCTTTAACTCTGCTTGCAGCACATAGAAAGAGCATATACCTATTTCTATCAAGGAACGTATTTAGGCATAACACTAGCCTTAGGATTACCATATGAACCAGTTCAATCCTGTGGAGTATCCCTGCACCATCACCGCTCTCCTTGGCAACAGCTGCTGCCAGTGAGAAAAAGTTTTGTCTGACTGGGCTGACTCATGCTGTCAGCTGTACATAAATGCTGTGTGGCATACTGTCACATGGGACTATCATCCAACAACCTTAATTAGGGCTGAACAGCATTTGATGGAGGGCCCCCATTTGCCAAACGGCATGCAATGAACCAAAGGAACAAAATAAAGAAATCTCTGGTATGGTGAATCAGTTTTGCTCTGCCTTTTAAGGAGCAGGGGACATTTAAGGTCTGAAATGCCTTTTGAATCAGGTCAAATTGCCTTGCAGAGTGCTGTAAACATTCTAAAAGACGCACCTCAGATAGACTTGCCATTCCCCCTCTGGGGCAGGGGTTTGCCCGCTTTGGGGCCCCCAATTCCCTGGTCCAGATCCGGCTGGCAGGGGGAACCCGCCCCCAAAGTGCTGGGATCGCGCCTACGTGCCCGGAGCGACGACATCACCCGGAGGTGACATTATCGCGCCAGGTACGTTGCCGTGGGGACACTCTAGTATTTGGCAAAAAACTCTACGGTACCATAGAGTTTCCGGCCAAATACTAGAGCACCCCCCCTGGTGAAGTGCCTAGCACGATGACATCACTTCCAGGTGATGTCATCACGTGGCACATGCTATGCGCGCACACCAGAAGCTCCATCCCCCTGCCAGCAGAAGGTAGGGACATGGCAACCCTAACCTCAGAGTATTACACACATTTTGTGTCTCATTACTCACACCTTGAAACTATAAAACTAAAGAACTCAACTATATAATTGTTTACACTTTAACAGCGGCTAAAATACTGATCGCAAAACGCTGGAAATCAAAAATCATCTCCTCTATAACAGAGCTTAAATATAAGATATTAGAAGTAGCAGAAATTGATAAATTAAATATTACAAAATAAACCAGAGGAGCTATTTTGGAAAAGATGGAAAATTATATATGACTGGTTGAAGATAAAGAAGATGGACTAGACTCAAAAATATGTTAAACAACATTAATTTCTGTAAAAGAAGAGATATGAACTTTAAAAAAAACGTATAATGTATTTAATGAGCATATTCTTGATTGAAAATGAAAATAAATTTATAAAAAAAGAAAAAGAAACTATAAAACTAACAGCACATGGGTAGAGTGGAGTAATTATAAACATTGCACAGATATCGGTGTCTAATTTTTCTTTCATAAAGGCCATTTCTAAAAATGCTATATTGAAATAGTGCACTATGCTGCTTTTCATTTATATGTAATACCTCAACCAAAATATCACCAACTAATAAACACAAGGTTTTGAGTTCCCCAGAACTCTTCCATCAGGCTACACTTTTACATGTACAGAGATGCTGACATTTTTGTCACATCAGGACTACAACCTTAAGCATCTTTACAATAAATACTTGAATTGACTCTCAAACATTATTTAATAAATGAGTACAGCTACTCTTGGCAGTTATACCCTTCTAAGCCCATTGATTTTAATGGACTTAGCAGGGTGTACCTTTGCTTAAGATGGCACTGTAGGACTTATTTTTGAATGAACAGGATTGGAAATATCTCTAAAGCTTTCATGAGTCTTACAGTCCAACCCTAGGCAAATATCAGAACTAATGATTTAACTGGAACTTATGCTAAGGATTACATCCACACAGCCTAATCCTAAATATATTTACTCAGTGTAAACTCCACTGTGTATAGCTGGGCTTACTCCCCAGTAAGGATGCAGCCTTAGTTTCACAGAGAGCCTAATTCGGGTTAAGTTGAAAATCCAAAGGGAAAGAAGGGAGCACACAATGGCTGTCAATGAAACTTGGAATCAACACTTCATGACTTCACATTGTGTTTGGTATTTTTAATGGAATGTATTTCACTACCTCTGAGGTCACTACGTACACAGAACAATTTAGTGGAGTACTTCAGGCTTCGAAATAATTGCCACTGAAATGATGAGCAGACAGGGTAGAGAGAATTGAAGGGAGATTTTTTTTTGAGGAGAGGGAAACCCCAAAGGACTAGAGCAGCACACCACAACTGGCTAGAGCTCCTGAATGGAGCTACTGTTTCCACCTAAATCTAAGAACTCTGACCAAAACAGCACCCCAGAGTTAACAGAACTCCCTTGGTGCTTTGGTTTTATGAAAGGCCTATAAACATTGTATGGTACTCAAATTTCAGCATGCAGGCATTTCATACATGCAGAGGGAAAGAGGTGAAAAGGGTAGACAAGAACACATATTTGGGTGGCTAAATATTCAAATCTGACCAGATACACCGAGAGCAACAAAAGTCTCGACAGAATGACGAGCGATACTACAGTCATGTTTGAACTTGCATCAGATTCCAAGTATACATAAATTTCAAAAAGAGAATTTGCCTCCCCACATATCACCAGTTAACGACATTTCTGTTAACTGAGTGAGCACACTCCTGTGTAATTTCCATGGCCTTACAAGAGACAAAGACTCTCGATTTTTTTTGCCTTCATCCTGCTACAACTGCAGTACCTTGCAGTCATAATTAGTATGGATCAATGAGGCATATTTGAGATGAACATTTCAAATAAGTTGCTCCTTTCAGAACTAACAAAACTGATGTAAAAAAACCCCCACACCTCTTAAATGCTACAAAAAAGGGCAAGAAAACTGACACACTTATACAATCATGTGCAGTGTGTTTCAATGTGTTACATGTTCTTGGTCACCCCATCCAGTTGTCATATACAACATACTGGAGAAAAATCAGCAAAGCAATTAACTTGCACTAAAAGTTATCATGTGTACTAAACAAACATTACTCTGTGCCTAGAAGATCAGTTACTTGAACCGTCCCTAAACCTTCATTCAATGATCAGTTAATAAATGGTTGGTTACATTATTTACAGTGCCCCTAAGGGACATTTAACATTCTTAAGTAAATGACATTATTTTAAAAAATAACAAAACAGACTATTTCCCATCAGACAAATTTAAGATGAAGACTGATAATAAAATTTTAGTTCAGGCCATTTAATATTATCAGTGTTGTCATATGCTAACAATAAGTACACGTTTAAATAGAAATAAATAAATCTATCCACTGCAAAGCCCCCCCCAAACCCCCAGCAAGAATAGTATGTTGTTTATAAAGATAATTACTCACAGCAATGGTTTTTGTATTCTCTTAGAAATTCACCACAGCAAGAAGCCACTATTCTAAGAGACAAGTGATAACTGTCTATATAGCATAACAATCCAAATTTCTGAAAGTTTATTTTGCCATGACAACTCAAGCCTGTACAATTAACAAAAAGCTGGCAATTATACTAATTTTAACCTTTCTATGCCTGTAAAACAATACATAGAATGTAATATCATTGTGCAACTGGTACTTAGAATCTTTTGCTAATTATATTTTTCCTGAAGAAGTGTTTGGCAATAAATCCTAGGTTTTGGAACAATGAAACCTTAATCCTGTAACAGAATATAAACACAAAGTGGGGAGGGGAGTTAACCTTGAAGAACATTTTCCAGTGCATCTATTCAGTATGTACTCATGCCAAGAAGCTGAAAATGAAAGAAACTACACTAGAAAGTAACTACTTCTGACAGTTTACAAGAGACCACACACTATTAAAAGGGCAAAACAAAAAGTATATGCATTCTAAACACAACTTAGGGCAGGTTCATGCATTATAAAAATGTGCTAGTCTGTTCATGAGTGTGGGGGGGAGGGGACATAAATGAGATCAATGTTATGTAAGCACTTAGAGCAGCAGGAGTCTGCAACCTATGACCCAAATGCAGCTCAGAATAGACCCGAATAAGGCTCTTTAAAAATGAAAATCAAATCTGCACATTCAGCTGTACTGAATGTGTACTAAACACATTCAGTACAGGTCAGTGGGATGTTAGAATAGCCAGTATGAAGAAGAAGAGCTGGTTTTCTCTATTCTAATACGTCTCAAAGAGACTTACAATCACCTTCCCTTCCTCTCCCAACAGTCACATTGTGAAGTAGGTGGGTCTGAGAGAGTTCTGAGAGAACTGTGACTGGCCCACGGTCACCCAGCAGGCTTCATGTAGAGGAGTGGGGAATCAAACCCAGTTCTGCCACTCTAAACCATTACACCATGCAGAAGCATGGGAAGGGCATGGCAGGAGAAGATTTTATGGGACTAAATGGCTTCTTGGAGAAGATTTAAAGAAAGGGAAATCAGACGTAAATAGCTGCCAGTCATCCAAGTGCCAACCAGGCACAGATTTATGCCAGTGCACTAAAACAACAGTGCAGGGTGCTCATTTGTATGTCTATTACTTATTGTGAGACTTCACATGTGTCCCTTTTTAACAAAAGACTGTTCTTGTTGCAGCAAGAACAACAGCAACAACAAAAGAACTTAATGGCACATGATTTATTATGGCATAAATTTCCATGGCATAGGGCTCATTTCATTAGGGACAAGATACTACTTTACTTTTACTCTAAATCAGACGAGTATCAGTTCCAACTACTTCAGTTCCCTGGCAGAGCTGCAAGAAGGACTTTCAGGCACACAGTCCACAAAGTGACAAGTTCATTTTTGGTCTCCTTCTTATTTGCCTGATCATGAATTAAGTGACAGAGGAACAGCCTGAACATGTCTCCTCATAAATGCTAGCATGCTTGGGCAATTTGAATATCTAAGATTTAATACAGCAAATAATTTGGGATTTACGCTTCTTCATTCACACTTGTCGCACACTTGCTCCTGAACAAAAGATCCTCTGTCCAGTGTTTATCTGAAGTGCGAATATATCAGTTGTGGGGTACTTGAATGGCCAAGCTGAAGTTAAGAACTCTTAAGCTCCATTAATTGCTAGAGTGATAGACATGATTTAGCCTCTTCCACTGAAAGCAATGGGAACGTAACTCTGCTTAATTTTGGCTAGTTCATATTCTTTACTTCACTATACAAACTATGAAGGCAATTATTATAGTGGTTGCAATATCAACTAGGACTGGGAACTTACCCCCCCCCTTTGGTAAAGGGATACGTTTAAATATTTTTGTCCTAGACAGACCTTTAGAAAGTAAATATGAAAAAAGATATTATACCTTTGTGCATAGAATTAAGATCTAACCACCCCAACAGAAGATTTTATTGAGTTGTATAATCTCTTGATCTTATGACTGAGGAAAGTTTTCTGGAATGTACCTAACAATGTGCGAGGTTGAGTTAGGTGTAACAAGCTCCAGGCTTTGTGGAAAGTTGCAGACTTTCCAAGATAAACTTACTATGTACAATAGGTTTGCCCAGTAAAAAAGTTATTCTGACAGGAAGCAATTTGCATATATCCTCTTTTTGTGTGTGTGTGTGTGTGTGTGTGTGTGTGTGTGTGTGTGTGTCCCCAGCAATGCATCACACTGGAGTATTGCCAGTGATGTAAGCTTTGGGGAAATAAAGAAGTTGGAAAGTGAGGGGTTTCACATACTAGTACAGTACTTAAATAAGTAAGTTATTAACTCAATTAAGCAACACCAGAGTGATTAATATATAAAGAGAAGCATTCCTGGGTACAGCCATGTTGACTTAGCAGCCCTTCTTAGACTGGTTTACCCTTTAGAGTCCATGTAAGTAAATGAAACAGTGTTGCAAATTAGACTTATTCTTTTTCCCTCAGCCCCTTGCTTCTTCTGTAAACAGTTACTGAGACCACACATCTGGCTCATAAGGCTCACTAGTGTAAACTAAAAAGGGGGTGACCTTCCTTCTGGTTACTTAACATACAGAACACTGGTAAAATTCTGGGCAGATTTTAACAGAAATATAACCAAGGGTTAATATTTTTTTTAAAGTGAAAGGGTTAAATGGGGCAAAAAAGCCTCCGGAACAAGAGCCCATTCTCACATTATGGTTGTAGCACAGGCAGGGCTCCTTCCTGTCATTTTAGAACCCCACAAGAGAGAGGCGGGGCAACTGGCATGGGAGAAACTGTAGCAGGGATTCCTCCCCACTCCTAAGCATCACAAGAAGGATCCGCCCTGTACAGTTCTTACTAACGCATGTGACATTTTTCCCAAGTAAAGAAAACCCTCCACACAGAAGACTAGAATACTGGAAAGCTGGAATCTTTCTCCATAACATGCTAGCTTTTCTAGGGGAGGGAATTTTACTGCATATATAAATATGCTAATTCCCCCCAGCCTGCCACAGGCTCATAGGCCTAGGCAGGCAGGCATGCAACCAAAGCAGCAATTGCCCTAGAGGATTTTTGTGCTTCTTAATATGCACTTTGGCCTTTAAAAAGAGAGGAAATAATCCCAGATGTGATCACTGTTAAACACCACTAACTTAGTGTGAGAGATTGTGAGAGCAATCTTTAACAGGTGTACTGAGATTTAGACTCAAGTCTAATCAACAGTGGTTATTATTATTCTTAAAAAGCCTTGTAGATAACTTCCATTTAAATCCACAGAGAGAAATGTGCTTACATTGAATGGTACTACACATTGGGTAGACATTTTTTGTAACTAACATACTCCTTTCTTCCAAAAACCCAAATATTCTTGGTCTACATTCACATCTTTTCTTGACACCCCCCCCCCCCCCCCAATTTACATGTTAGTATCTGGCATGAAAACTTCGTAACAGCCTAGTCTTTTAAAATACTGTGTGCTGTAAATCATATGCCATGAAAGCACTATACTGAGCTAGCAAATGTAAGTAACAGAGTGAGTCCAAAGTGCTTCACAAGCCATTACTGAAGTAACATGCTACAGCCTAAAAAGCAGCGGTAGTTTTTCCCATAGCAGTTTCTGAAGGGAAGACCATTCTTCAGGAAGTAATAATACATACTAAGTTTGGTTCAGGTGGATAGCCATGTTGGTCTGAAGCAGCAGAACAAAGTTTGAGTCCAATGGCACCTTTAAGACCTGAGTGTTGTACTAACTTGGAACTCCCGGGGCTTAACAGAGATATCGGTTCTTATCTCACTACACACACTAAGTCACTCAGTTCTCACTTATACCCAGAAATAAAACTTTGTTGGTCTTAAAGGTACCAATGAACTCAAACTTTTCTCACCTGTTGTTAACTCCTTTATTATCTGTATGCCACTTTGCTGCTATTTACATGTCTTACCAAATATGTTTGCTGTGCCTATTGCTCAGTTACTTATGCATCTTGACTCCAATTAGCTCTTCCTGGCAACTAAACCCCCCTACCTGTATATAATATTTGAAGAAATCTGTTTCTGTATATTTGAAGTGTGCATCTACACATGCAGAGTCTCTCTGTTCTTGCATGTACCCAGGGTTGAGCTTGGTCGGTTTTGGGGGTGCCGCTAGACTCAGGCTTTGCTCTCACATCTGTTAGCTTTCACATTTGTGTGCTAATTTGCTGCCATTTCGTTGATCTCGCCACCTTGATCCAATCTCGGCTTCACTTATGCATCTTAACTCTGACTGGTCCTTCCTGACCCTTACACACACACACAATCTTCCTGCATGTAAGGCTTGAAGAAATTTTGTTTCAACTTGCACACAAAAGCTTACACCTTAAATAAAACTTTGTTGGTCTTAAAAGTGCCATTGGACTCAAACTTATGGCAGAAAGTCCTGCATGTGCCTTACAGAAATTCAACAACAGAAGCTTCCCTTCCCCCCCCCCCCCAGATGCAACCAGGGGCTGTCAGGCAGCTAGTAAAGCAAACAGTCTGCAGTCCATTACAATTGGTCCTAGGAGAGGCGGCGTCTGAAGCCATTACCTGTCAGCAAAATTCTTTGGTCGGAAGGGGACACTAGAGCTTTGCTGAAGGGTCCCCCCCTCATGTGGGCGGAAGAAGGAACCGTCGACCCCTCTTCTCTGCCTAGAAGCAGCCCGCGGGTCCCGCTGGCCTTGGAGGGAGAAGGGGAGGAAGGCCCAGCCGCGCTGCCACGGCCTTTCATGCCCAGCGAGAGCAGGCGGCCTTTGTACATCCACTTCTGCAGCTTCCGCACGGTGACCGCAGGCGGCTTGAAGGGGCCCTCGTGGGCATCTGCGAGGGGGTGCCGCCGGCTGCTCTGGCCGCCCTCCGCCGCTGCTGAGTCCACCGCGGCGCCTCCCAGGGGCACAGCCTCGCCCAAGGCCGCGTCCGGCTCGGGATCAAACTTCGGGAGCAGGAGCTGTTCCACGCCGTCCGGCGGCCCTCGGAGCAGGGACCGGAGCGCGCTGTCGCTGCGGCATCTGGGCAAGGGCAGGGGCTGGCCCGAGGGACTGGCCGGGAGAAGGCTTTCCAGGCTCTTGCTGACGCCCCGGCGCCAGGCAGGGCTCTTGGCCGCGTCTGGGCAGCCGGGATCGACCACCTGGAGCCGAGGGCGGCAGTCCCCGCTCGAAACATCGCTGTTCCCCACAACCCTGGAGAGAGAGCCGGCCGTCGGCGGAGGCGAGCGGGCCCCGGCGGTGGGGCTGGCCGGGGGCAAGTCGTGCATGGCGTGGATGAGGAGGTAATAGGCCTCCTGCAGCTGGCTTCGCAGTCTGCCCGTGCTCTCCCGCGCTCTGGCCCCGTGGCTGCTGCCGACCTCGGCGCCCTCCTTGTTCCCCCACGCCTCTTCCTGCGCTCCAGACGCTCCTTGGCAGCCCCAGCTGGGGGAGAGCCAGAGTCCGCGCCTCCCGGGAAAACGGAGGCAGAGAAGCAGAGCTCGGCCGGAGGAGGAGGGGGCGCCCGCAGCCCCGGGGGGTTAGGCGGCGGCGGCAGCGCTGTCCCTTCCCGACGGGATGTCGCGGGGCAAGTGCAGGCGACCGTGGCTCCCGACAGACTTTCCCCCTGCACCGCCGCCTTCCCCCGCCGGGACCAACCAGCCGACTCCGACAGCCTCGACTCTTCCGAGGGCGACACGAGGACCCGATAGCAGCCAGCTTGGCTCCCGAGAAGAGTGCACGGCGCTCCCGGCGCTCCGCTCCCAGGTGCCCGCAGGCTCTGCTGGGCTTTGCACTGAAGGGGGCCCTCGCCCCCGCCGTTCGTGTGCCCAGCGGCTGCCCCTCGCTGCGACCGTCTGCCCCGCAGTTTGGAAAGTGTCCTGCGCAGAGGGTCAGCCATGCCTGGTTGTCGCCTCGCCTGCTTCAGTTACTCGCTGCCCTCGAGCAGACGGGGCGCTGCCGGGGGGCCTCCTGAGGAAGGCGGCGGGACCAGCAGCCCATAACCCGGCTGGCAAGAGCGCTCCATGGTCTGCCTCCTCCGTGCGCGCTGGTCGTTCTTCTCCCTTGCTCCTGCTCCTGCTGCTGCTGCTCACATACTTGGCATAGCTGAGCGGGGTGAGAGGGCGCCCTGCAATGCGCATGTCTGCCTGCCAGCAGCTGGGCTGAGGCTGAGCGCTCTTACAGGAGCGCACACGGCACTGCCTCCGCCCAGTTCCAGCCCTCAGGCTACACAGGCTGGGATAGGACGTCGGCGAGCGCTCTCAGAGGCGAGCTGGAAGCCACCGCCCCCTTCTGCAAAACACGCGGAGGGGCGGGCCGAGGGGAGCGGTGTTCCTGAGCCTCTCTCTCCTCCCCGCTCGGCTTCGGGAAATTAACCCTTCAGCTGGCCGCAGACACGGCAAGACTAGCCTGACGGAGTTCGGACACTTTTCTTCTGTGACACGGGGAGTTGCCTGGTGGAAAGAAATTAAACAGGTGAAGTAAGCACCCCCACCGCTAACGTATCTCAATGGACACCAAAGTCCAGCAGACTGGATTTTTGCCTATGATGGTACAGGGAAAAGGTGGCCATTCTGCATAGATCTGGGAAGGGCCCATTAAATCCTTTCCGCAGTTGTCTATCTGTACGGTGGGAATCACTGGATCTACTTACAGAATCAACACACTGCAAAAATAAATACTATTAAAAACATTGAACTTTATAAAAGATGTGAAGAAGGCAAGTTCGCACATTTCACAAATGCTGGGAATAGGACAGTTGAGTCACAAATAACATGGAAAGTCAGCATTAGAGTATTATTAACGTATTATAGGTAACCTTTCCCCAAAGGTACCAAGGGAATTTGAGGACTATGTGTTTAAAACATGCTTAACTCCAGTGGAATGTAAGGTCTTCTATGGATTGCAGCATTGTCTTTGCGGCCCATCTGGTGGTTACCTTGGACAGACTGGTCAGTGTGCCCCTGGTGACAGAGAACAGAGCAATACCATAGTGACATAATAGCAGAATGAGATGGTAATGGGGTACCAGAATCCTGAGATGGTAGAAAAGATGGTATCATATCAAACGGCTAAGTGGGGTGTGTGTGACGTTTTCCTATACTTTCCTATTTCTCAACAAGAAAACTAGTACAGCAGGGAGAAGGGTTAACCCCTCCCCTTTAATGTGCTAATTTATTATTTGTAGGGAGGGTTTTTTGTTTTGTTTTCATTTTTTGGAAACATGGAAGAAAAAGCCAGAAAATGGCATCCTTCACCTGCAGTCCAACATGGTACAGCCCACTTGTTCTCCTCAAGATCCTACCTTTTTGCTACAAGTGTAATAAGTGTGGTTAGAAGACAGGAACCCCACTTTTGGCTTAGAAGTGGCATCCCCCAAGAGATGGGGCAACTTTGTCACAAAAAGTATCCTGTTCCACTAGGGAAACAGCCTGCATTCCCAAGCAAAGAGAAAGGAGGGGCAGTTGGACAAAATAGGCATTCTTTGCTACCAGCAGCTGCCCAAGGCTGTGCTGCCAGTTCCTTCTGCCATCAGGTCACCCTCTGTTAGCCCCTCGGAGCCTTCCAGGCCAGCTGCTGCTTCCTGAGCATGACAGGGTTAGGTAAGGACATTGCAGTGTTACGCACAGTCCCAAGGGATTAGAACTCTCTCCAAAAGGAACTTGCTCAGTAAGGTCAGAGGCCGCTCTGCAACTTGCCCTGAAATGCAGAAGTAAACGAATTAGAGCTTCCCTCTCAGGATGCTGTGAAACTCCTGCAATAAAGCAGCTGTTTTGATAATTATAGGGGTTATAGAATACAATTAATTGTGGGGATTTTTCACCTGCTTCTCATTTGTGAAGTTCTGAGAGAAGGAGCAACAGAGCTGATATTATTGGGAGTGGAATAAAGTTTGAGTTGAGTGGCACCTTTAAGACAACAAAGTTTAATTCTGGGTATAAACTCTTGTGTGCATGCACACTTCATCAGAAGTAACAAGCGCAATTTCCAAGGAGGAACATGTTGACTAGTATTCTTATAGTCCTTACAATTGTTCTTTGCTATCCAGTGCTGCTAAAGCAAGAAGATGAGAGCTTTTAAACAAACCCTTTCAGTCAAATAATCCATAAATATGTACAATGATATATTTTAAAACCAGTTCAAATAAATCCTTCAATACAAACATGTAATGTGTATAATCCCACAAATATCTTTATGTATTCATACCCAGTACTGACTCCTCAACGAATGTTTTAGAAAAATACCAAAGCATCAGGGGATGGTGGAGGTGCAAGGCACATTTTTTCCTTGTTTGCTTTTGTGTGAGGACAAACAAGGGCAACAGCTGGCCTTGTAGAACAGTAAATGTGCCGTGGAATTGGTCACAAAGTGTGTGTGTGTGGGGGGGTGTTTTTGTTTTGTTTTGTTTTTCAAAGAAGAGCCTTTTGAACAAGCTTCATGAGCAGGTCTTAAAAACTCTGTCAGTGTTCCCCCACTGACCTGACTTCATCTCAGGAGTTAAGTTGACTGAAGAAGACTTTGAAACAGGAATACCAGATGTCCCTTGTTTAAAATGGGGAGCCTTTATGTCAGAATATTACAATTCCAAGGACACGGCAAAAACCCTTTTATTACTGAATGCATTCTATACCCACAGAATTCCCTATGATTTATTATCCAGTAGTGAAAACTTCTAATGTAAGTCAAGATGTCAGCTGTATGGTAAATAGTATCAAAAGACCAGGTCACATATCACCGCATTGCAACCTTTCATTCACTAGCTCATTTTTGAGATGGAAGAATCACTATAAAGGGGTGTCACACACACACACACCCATATTCACATGGCAGGATTGTACTTTAAATGTGACAACATTGCAAATTAAAAGCACTTAGGGTTTGTTTCGTTTAGTTTGCAAATATTCAAAAATACAGTAATTTATTACTTTACCGTAGTGGAAACCAGGACCATTCCCCTACTGTCATATTAATATGGAGGGCAAAAGAGTTGATTGGTTGTGTAAACTGGTCTTCCTGATCAACCCTCTTTGGGAGGTTTTGTAGTAGAATAGAGATCTATAGTCTACCTATATTACAAAGCAACTGGAAAACCAACACCACTTCAGTGCTAGCCATGATACCAGTAACACACATCTTAGTTCTCAAAAACTGCAGAAAAGGGGGTTAATATGGATCTGGACTATACCACTGCACACTGCAAATAATTTTCTGCACATAGAAAACTAGATGTCATGGAGAAGAATGCTAGCACAGCCTTTTCCCCAACATGCAGTTTTCCATTGGTAAAAATATCTAACACACATACACCCATCTGCACTGGTCTGCCTCCTCATCTGTTCTTTATGAAAGCCTAAGCATTTGGTAGGAAAGTAGAGTGTGCATTTTCTAAAACAAACTTCTAAAATATGTTTTGTGTGTATATTAAGAAGTTTCCCAATTAGACAAGAAAAAAATATTTATTCTAGTATTTTAGACACTCAAGAAATGCTAATTTTGTTCTTGCATCCATATTTATTTTGAAAATTTCCAAACACTTTTTCACAGCCAGAAAGACTATTGGTCTTTTTCTGAGATAAGTAATACTTTCTAGCCTACATTCCAAACAATAATACACTTGAATGGAAACTTGCTACATCACTTGTGGGGGGTCTGAACAGGAGAACCAGGAAAAAATAGTAATATTTATCTAAAGCATATATTTGCAAATGTGCTCAAGAGCAAAAGTGTAGTGGCACAATTATCACCCATGAACAAGGGGCTAATAATGCATCTAGTTTTCACAAGACATTCCACAAATGGTCAACAGAAGTCTAAGCGTCCTTTTATGAAGGGTAGATTATGAGTGTACTAGAAGGAAAACAGACACTCCTGCTAACATTCTCACATTATACAAGTTTGTTGTGATTATTATAATTTTCTACAGTGCCATCGTTGCTTATGATAATGGATATAATAGCACAGGAAAAGAAGTCCCTGTCCATAGAAATTTAGAATGTAGACTTTGCCTTGAGAGCACAAGGACACACAAAAAGAAGAGGGACATTCTAGAAGGAAGGAGTGGAAAAGCCCAGCAGAGCAAAGGATCAGTGTAAACTACAAACTTCCTTGGGAGGGAGTCTCATTTTATTCAGTTGTACATACTTCTAGTAAACTTGCACAAGAGTTCGTGTCCAATACTTTTACTGGAACCAATTGATATTCACTGTGTGGCATAGAAACTCTCAACTTGCCTACTTCGGAAATAGTAAGATTAGAGCTGGCATTATATGAACAGGGTTATCTGACTGGAGTC